GATTCTGCAAGGTATTTCATTCTGGTATAAGTTGATTGACACAATTCTGCAAGATATCTCGCTCTGGTGTAAGTTGGTTAATATGATTTTGCAAGGTATCTCGTACTTGAATAAGTTGATTGGTTTGGTTCTGAAGGTCAGCGTTTTGTTGTCTATAGTAATTGACATCCTGCTGTAGCTGGACTATCTGATTATTGCTATCATCTCGTTGAGCGATAACACCGTCTATATCCTGGTATGCAGACTGATAATTATGCCGAACAGTATTTAAGGAGCCTCTAATACCTTCTATAATATTGATAGGATTATTTAATGGTGTACCACCTCTAAGATGTTTTTCAATACGATACAAGCCTTGTTCGATTTGTATAAAAAGGTCAAGATTCGCCATATCTATATCTTCCTCTTCTGAATTATATAAACTTGGAGAGCTTCTTCGAGAAGAAATAACTTTGAATCTATGCCTTAGATTTTGAACCTGCTCTTCCGATTCTTGTAATTGCTTCTCTATATTATCAATATAGGATACCTTATCTTGGATTTCCTTTTTAGCTTGATATAAGCTTCTTTTAAGAGACAATATCTCCGATCTTAACTTGGCCTTTTCTTCCTCTGAAGCATTCTCGAGCCGTTCCAGTTCTTTATTGAGGGATTGAATTTCATTCTCACATCTGGTATATTTGCGCTCTAGCTCATTTATGTATTTCTCATTCGATTTGTTGATGGCTACCTCTGATTGTAATATCTCCTGGAGTTCTTGGTTAATTTGCTCTAGCTCGAGTTCTTTATCCGTAGCTGATCTATGAGTTGTTTGATTAGGGGGTCGTGGTCTACGAAATGCCATGTTATTACGAAGTAATGAGACTTTGTCTCTATTTTTTACGGCATATTATATTGACTTATCTCTGACTTTGCTAAACATAATTTTTACTATAATAATTAATATCGAAAATGAGTAGGTCCTTAGACCATGCTTCGCATAAATTGAGCACGCCTATTATTAGAATCGATCCAAATGAGGAATTAAACTTAATATGTAAATTGCTTTTTTACCAGCCTACTGGCTACCATGCCAATTCTAGAAAATTATATAAAGACCTCAAGAAGAAAGGGTACCGATTTCCATTCAAAAAAGTGCATAACTGGCTTATAAACCAGAATGAATGGCAAAAATACGCTCCATCGCCAAAAAATACTCCACGTGTTAGTTATGGTAAAATTCAAAAACCAAATTGTGTACATCAGTGCGACCTCTTATTCCTTACACATGATCATTATAAAGGTAAAAAATGGGTAGCAGTTCTCAACATAGTGGATATCTCTAGCCGATTCAAAGCATCAGTTCCACTAACATCGAAGAAAAGTTCGGAGGTTGCTAGAGCATTCAGGAAAATTTATGATAATCCCAATAACCCTCTTACGTACCCGACACTTCTACAATGTGATGGCGGTAAAGAATTCATGGGCGAAACTGCTCGATTAATGGAAGCGCATAATGTCACAATTCGAGTAATTGGTGCATATAGTCATCGGGGACTCGCAATTGTAGACAGATTCTGTAAGACGTTAGCAGAGATGCTTTATAAAATCCAGTACGCCGTTGAATCAATATCTAAAAATCCTAAATTAATAAGAGAATGGGTTAAGTATTTACCAGAAGTTATTAATTACCTAAATAATTATCCAACGCGTCTTATTAGAGCTCCTGGGTCGAAGAAATGGGGATTAGCACCTATAAAAGCAATTAAGTTAGAAAAGGTTGAATCTCGGCCATCCACAAAATATAAACGTCCTGTTGGAAAAAATGAGGAGAATAAGTTAAAGAAGGGTGATAGTGTTCGTTATTTGCTTGCTAATGGAGAGTGGGAAGGAGGTATGGAGAATCAGAAAAGAGCCACAGATCCGGTATTTTCGCCTTCTATTCATAAAATCCGCAAAATCGTGATAACGAAAAACGAACCAGTTTTATATTATCTCGGAGATGATGACGATGAATATCCTCCAAAGCGTGGATTTGTGAGAGAAGAGCTTATGCACGTAAATATAGATACGCTCCAGTATCCGCCCCAGAGTATATTGGAAGAAAATACTCGTTCCAGGTCTGTTAATTTCGTTCGTATTATTAATAAAATAACCAAGGCTCAACAATATGCCGAGAAGCGTGGCGGAAAATGCCTTGGTAAAACTGGTCAAATAAATGATTTCGATGTATATCTCTGGTCCTGTGAAAACGGAAACCATCAGTGGGAACATCCATATCCGTTAATAGCTACGAAATTTGAATGGTGTCCAATTTGCTTCCATCATAACGATGAGCGGAGATGTAGATATATTTTTGAGGATCTGTTGGGTAAGAAATTTCCATCTTGTAAACTGTCGTTTTTGAATGGGATGCAATTAGACGGGTATAACGAAGAGCTAAAATTAGCGTTCGAATTCCAGGACGTCCAACATTTTTCTGAGAATCCAATGTTCCATAAGCGAGGCAAGATAGACTTAAATGGTCAACAGATGCGCGATCAAAAAAAGCGGGAAATATGCAAAGAGCGAGGTATAGATCTTATTGTAATACCATATGATGCAGATTTATATGAATTTATCCGAAACATTTTAATTGAGAAAGGTTATTTACAGGATAAAATATAAATTTGTAAGATAAGTACTGATGACATATATTAAAATTCACTCTCTAAACTTACCCGAAATATTGACCGAAATTTTCTTGAATTTAGCTGAAGATAGATTATTGTATCCGACCTTGTTCGTCAATAAATTTTGGTATTCATGCGCAGGGCCGATTATCTGGCGTTGTGCGGAGTTTAATAAAAGAAATCTAGTACAATTCGAAAAATTCAGAAAAGTGATGTGTAGAAATCAAAAACCTCTTTACTGTTCTAAGCTATTGCAACTCGTTCTTCATGAATGTAGAATTTCAGATAGAACTTTAATCAAGATTGCCCGCGAAACCCCCAGATTACAATGTCTCGTTTTTGATGGTTGTGAGGGTTTTTCTTATGATTCGATTGCTGATTCTTTAAAACTATGGCCTAATATGAGGCATTTCAAATTTGATTTAAACTCAACTAAAAAGGGGTCCTTAGGTAAATATATTTATATTGACGACAGAATACTTTGTAAAATTGCTAACCGAAATCTGGAACATCTAAGTCTTGGTTTTTCTAAACTCTCTGATAAATCTTTAAGCAAAATCGCTGATTCGTGTCCAAACTTAAACTATCTCAGTCTGGGACACAATAAAAATATCACCGACATATCTATGATTGATATTGCACATTCCTGTCCCAAACTACATTATCTTAGTTTGTGGTGTTGCAGTATTACAGACGAGACATTAAAAACAGTAGCTTATTCCTGTCCTGGACTCCAACATTTGAGACTGATGTCTTGTGGAGGTATTTCCGATGTGGGGGTTTGTGCGATCGCTACTTCGTGCCGAAACATTGTAGATCTTTCTTTTGAAAGTTGTGGGGTAAGTGACATATCAGTTAAAAAAATTGCACAATTATGTCCAAGAATCCGAAGACTCAATCTGGATTGGTGTTATATAACCGACGAGTCTATCTGTGAAATAGCAAGATCATGTCCAAGACTAGAAGTGCTACTTCTTCTAAATAGCTTTATTAGTGATATATCAATTTATGAAATTATTCGATCATGTAAGAATCTGCGTAGTCTTGATCTCAAAAAATGTTACTCTGTTACTGATGAGGCAATCGATGCCCTTATAACTAGCAATCCAAGCATTGATATTAGAGAGCCTTAAGTGATTTACTATGTCGCATTTATTAGACTTGTTATTACATAGAGTAAAAAATCGGGTGGGTATATATAACAATAAGGATCAATATTTTTTCGGATATAATAATTAGTGACTTATCTCGATTAAAATGAAAATAGAAAAGCTCGACCCTGTTGAAAGGATGGTTTTGAATATTGATGAATACAAAAATATAGAGAGATTTAACGGCCTTAATTCCACACCTCAATGGCCGTTCACCATGGTGGTTTCAGGGCGAACTAGATCAGGGAAAACCAATGAAGTTATTAATCTTTTACTTGGAAACAAGATGAATCGAATGTTTAATGGAAAAAAAGGTGGAACGCGTTATATTAAAAATGATGATTTGGTTTTGATCGGGCATCATATCAAAGAGCCGAAATATAGATACTTACGTGATTGTTATCGAATAATTGCAAATAGTCCAAAGCCATATCATGAAGACCTTACATTCCGAGCAATGAGGCCTAATAAAATACCAAAGATAGATGAATTCTCTCCTGAAAGAGGAACGGTTACTATATTCGAAGATGTATGTAATGAGCCTAAAAAAATACAAGATGAAATTGCCCCTTACTTTACTGAAGGACGCCACTCCAATATTAGCTCCATATATGTTACACAATCATTCTTCGATTGTCCTGGTAAAGTAAGAAAAAATTCAGATTATATTGTACTCTTTAATGGAGCAGGAACATATGATGAGCTAGTAAATATTGCCCGGCGATATACAAAAAATTGGCGTAATGTTGTTGATATACTGGATAAAAATTTACAGGGTCGGGAATTTATTGTGATTGACCGGACTAGGGCCAAGGAGGATCCACTCTATATCAGAAAAGGTTGGGACCAAGCACTCGATCTTTCTAATGAATAGAGCGCGATTCACGATAATGAGATAATTATTTTTTCCGTTATTTATTAATACAGCAATATAATACATCTATCTGCCACTTCTTATATTATTGAGAAGCTGATCGATCCTGCCGATTTGAAGTTAGAGTGATGGTTTTAACATCTTATTCGCTACTATTCTCCAATGAAATAGCTATCAGTATCCAGCCTGATTGAGGTTGAAGTAGATGTTGAAAAAATAAATAAATTCTGTAGTTTATTTGTACCGAGGGAGTTTTTTGTGTCTGGTAAAATGAATGTATATAGAAATCAAAGACGCATTTCTCCATAAACTGTCTATAATAGTTTATTCGATTCTAGTAAATGGCGGGTATTTATTATTAATATATAATTCAGGATTTTGTATCCACTTTAGCATTACATACCATTGCTTACTATTGATTACTCTGTATCCTTGTTGTCCTAATAAATTTAAAACGTGATTATATAATCTACCTCGTAATTGGTTTTTCTTTCTACCTATCCAATCGTATGGAATATAATATTCTTCATATTTACTATTATGAAAGAAACTAAACATTTCTGGGTTATTACATCTTTTATACATTGCAATTCGCTCATATCTCCACTGATTGAATTGATCTCGAGTCTGAGAATTTTTCACTTTACGTCCCGTTAAACCGAGAAATTTCTTATCATTAGAAGTACCATCATCTCTGATTGCATTCCAAGCTTGGGTTGCTAATGATTCGGGTCTATTCTTATAATTTCGATAAGCTATTTGTATAATTCTTGCTTTTCCAAAATCAGTCTTTGGTTTATTACATTTGTGGTCCCAATGTTCCAGCATCAGGTCTTTAGGTTCGAGATAATCAATATATCTCTGTCTAGTAAAATGGAATAATTTTTTAGGATTCACATTATCGATTTTTATGAGTTTCCAGCAACCAAAACAAATAGCCATATGACTTTTATGAATCTTTGGTCTGTAGTAATCGAAATTGACAAATTTACCTTTACCAAATGACATAAATAAACAATATCGATGATATACACTAAATTTTCCAGCGGTTAATAAATCTTGTAATGGAATTCTTACTCGTATTGCCCATTGAACCGGTGTTTCATTCTGTTTTATGATAGATAATGTATCAAATAATCTCTCATTATTGAAGAGTTCGTCATATTGTTTACCATCAAAAGCAAAATAATTTCCAATATATTTTCTGACATATTTCATATCATATCCAGGACGAATGTTAAAAGGTTTGGGTAATGTTCTATCTTTCTTATCGAGAATAGTTATAACATCAAAACCAGACATATTTATCGCTTATAGAGAATATTATATTTAGCGATTTTAGCATTTTTGACCTATTAGATTTGTTTCTTTATAGTATAAGAATATATGATTCATTTTTAGTGCGGATCTCGAAGAGTCTCCATAGAGCCTGGGTTATTAGATGAGTTGTGTATAATCGTCATATTTTGCGAGTGATGCATATGATGAGCATATGAAACAGTAATCCACTGATCGGTAATACATATGTTTAATCAATATATTACATGGTATAAAACTGCTCCCTCAGGATGATTACTCAGAAAAATTTCTGCCGAAAAGTAGGTAATGTAATACACGCATTGTGCAACTGAATACATTTCTAATCATTTTAGCACCAATCCGGAATTGCTGATCACGAGCTAGCTCAATTTTGATTTCCCAATTCATTAACTGATAGTTAGTTCATTAACCGTAATATTTTGCCCAACATGAATGTTGTTTTGCGTTCGAGTTCATAATGAAGCGTCGAATTAATTACTTAGAACGAAATCTAAAGAACCAATGTCGTGATCACATAGAATAAATCAGATATAATTCGTGTTAAGAAACGGGATACGCAAGAAACTAAGCTAATTCATCTTTGTTTTGTGAAATTAAGATATATTGATTGCCTTTACTGTGAGATATAGTTTT